AATTTCTTCTACGAGGAAAATTCACAAAATGATCTTTCAAGAATCTTTGCAAGTAAAGATGGATAGTGTCTAGCAGTGGAATCCATTTTGACGCGCGTTTCGTCCTATTTGAGACTCCTTAGTTGGATGTACCTGCATCTCAGATTTGATATTCACTCTGGGACTCGAACCCAGTACCGTTCGCTTCAAACGCCATCGCGTTATTCAGCTAACTACTGAGTCCTAATTCCAACAAGTATTACTAAGTGAATTTCAAGAAGCTATTCTTCTTTCTCTTAGTCACAATCATTTTAATATTCAAATCATTATTCTGTACTTTAATACAAAAGTAAGTTGAGAAAATGGATGAAATTGAATGAAATATACGAAATGCATATCAAATGTCCTTGTTTCTATGTATAGTGTTACTCCAAGCTCTTTGTATTATACTTGTTTTACTATTATCAAACTCGCTTTTGTGTTTTCTATAACTGCAACACATACAATACAATTCAATGTTTCATAGTGTCAATTTTCACATGTTGCATTATCTACAAGTTCAAACTACTACATGCTGCACGTAATCTTGAAAGCTATCATAGAGCCTTAAGGTGTACCTTTAGATCTTCAACTGTTATTTTGTGCTGACGTACTCTTCAGTTTCTTAGAAATAACTAATCAGTATTATACATAACGAATTCTAGGTGTTCTGTCTACTCATAAACTTCCTTTGTTATCCTCCATTAAAAGAGAGAAGTACAAGTATTTAAGTACTTATAGGCGTAAAGTAGGAAAAGATAATCTCATCTTAGATTGTCTTGTATAAGCATTATACAAACAAGAGACGTTTAGCAGCTTGACTAATGAAAAAGCTGATGAGGACAAGTTATTTTCAATGGTACATCTTTTAGCTATATGCTAAATAATTTGTTACAATGTGTTCTACTACCTTCTAGGAATGTCTTGCCCTATTATTGGATAAACTACAGTCATTGTTATCTAGTTTGTACAAATGTAATTAGTTTTATAAAGGCAACGATAATAATAATCAAGGTTATGAAATACACTGACATTTCAAGAGCTAGAGGTGAAATCATCGAACAGTTCAGAATTTGTTCAGTATTTGAACATAAATGTTATAAAAAAAGCATGGAAGGGTGACCGAACATTAGTTGTGGACTTTTGAATTGCACGTAAACCAAAGTGTAAATCGTATGGTATGTTTTAAGCACACACAAAAATAGTTGAAACAAACAACAGATAAATAAATAGTTAATAATGGTTTGGAAAACACTTACTTACTTAGGCCTGTTATCCCTCGTTGAGGACCATAGGCCACTTACCAGCATTCTCCAACCCACTCTGTCCTTGGCCTTCTTTTCTAGTTCTATCCAATTATTGTTCATTCTTCTCACGTTTGTCTTCATTTCTCGGCGTAATGTGTTTTTGGTCTTCCTCTTCTACTTTGGCCTTCAGGATTCCATGTGAGGGCTTGTCTTGTGACACATTTAAGTGCTTTCCTCAATGTATGTCCACTTCCAGCACGTCTTCTTGATTTCTTCCTTCTCCGAAATCTGATTTGTTCTCGCACACAAAAGAAGTGTCTGACCAACGGATTCGAAGTATTTTGCGTAGACAACTGTTATTGAACACTTGTATCTTCTGGATGGTGGCTTTAGTATTTCTCCAAGTTTCCGCTCTATACAGTAAAACTGTTTTGACTGATCTTGGCGTTGGTTGACAGACAGTTGTTTTGATTTCCAGATGTTCTTCAATTGTAGATATGCCGCTCTTGCTTTGCCGATTCGCACCTTCACATCAGCATCAGATCCACAGTGTTCATCAATGATGCTGCTCTCATCCTCCAAAGCTTTTACGTCAAGTTCGATTTAATCGTGTTTTATCGGAGAATCTTGCTTATCACTTTGTGTATATTGAGACCTACTGATGCTGGGGCTGGGGCTACACCGGTTGTATTCTCCCATATTTGTTGTTGCGTGTGTGATAGAAGAGCCAGATCATCTGTAAAGTCTAGATCGTTTAACTGAACCCTAGCTGTCCATTGTATCCCATGCTTTCCCCTATATGTTGACGTCTTCACGATCCAGTCGATCACCAGGAGAAAAAGAAAGGGTGAGAGTATGCAACCTTGCCTGACACCGGTCTTTACTTCGAAAGGGTAAATAGCATCATAAATTGTTTTGAGACTCTTATTATCAAATGAGGTTATTCAACAATCAGGGATTTGGGCAAGAATAGAAGGATGAAACTAATTTACGAACCAGAATAATGAAAGATAATTGTCCATTCGGAAGATATGAATAAAAAAGAAAACGAAAAACAATAAGGTCATAATGATAAATGAATAATAATCTGGAAAAATGTTAAAAGATAATATTAAGTGGTTACTCTTTACAGTTACAAGAAACTAATCTAATAAAAACAAAAAAAGGAAGACCAAAAAATACCTTGGAGGGAAATTAAGACCAAAAAAGGGGTTGATAGATTGGACGTATCGTTTTCCAAGCATAGTTCAGGTTTGAGTTAATACATTGTCAATGCCTCAGCAGTGCATCAGTTTTTTATTTGAACCTAAATCCATCGATTATGTAGAATATTTTAAAAGACTTCTTCAGATTGATGTGTTCTAGAGTTGATTAATTGCTTCTGTATTGAACAAGTAATTGTTTTTCATACTCCTTTTAAAAGTCGTGCCAAGTAGTGTTCTGAGATACGTTTAAAAAGTGATCGCTTTGCGAGTCCAATTTTTTCTAGCAAAATTTTCTTTACTTTCATTGAATGATACAATGGGTTATTTTAGCTACTGAGATTGTTTTGAATTAATGCAATGAATGACAAAATAGAATATCAGATAGCTTCTAGCAAGTCAAAACAATGAATAATAAAAGTAATACAATTTCAAAAAAAATTGAGCACTTCAACTACCATCAGCATTATACACAAAATTCCTTGATAGGTCTGTCACTCCTGGTGGAGGAGCACAGGACGACTACCAGCACTCTCTATAAAACCTTTTCCTGAGCAATCGTTTCCAGTTCTTTCCACTTGTTATTCATCCTTTTTATATCTGATTCTATTTCACGACATATTGTGTTATTCGAACTTTCTCTTTTCCGCCTCCCTTCAGGATTCCAAGTTAGGGCTTGCCTCGTAATTCAGTTTGGTGATTTCCTTAATTTATGTCCGATCCTTTTTCAACATAATTTCCTAATTTGTTCTTCAGCTGGAAGCTGGTTTGTCCTCTTCTACAGCAGACTGTTGCTGATTGTATCCGGTGAGAACAGAATTGTCGAACAGAATTACATGTTATATGCATGCAAGTACACCCCGTTATTGTACCTGTTACTATTGTTGTTCCTAAAAGTGTAAAGAATGATGCCCATTTGATATGATTTTTGGCACAATAGGTACAGTTTGAAAATGAAGAGAACTGAGTATTCAAAACTACATCTGATGAGAAACTCAGACGTCAGGAATCGCTTGCCGACATCTGGATTAAACGTCTATGTTAATACGATATTCATTTTTGCTGCTTCTTATACCTCATAGAGATATTCATCCTACAAGTGGTACTTATGACAAGTTCTAGATTTAACACGTTTTTTTCATCAAACTGAAACAAAAATAGTTGAAAGCGTGAGCCAATTGAAGCTAGACCATCAGGGAAAAACCTGGAAGCACCAGACGGCCGTGTCGTCCTATTGTGGGACTCCTCAGCAGTGCGCATCCACAACCTTGCTTCGCGAGATTCGAACCAAGAAACGTACATGTTTCTTAAAAAATATTGCTATCAATAAGTTGCCTGATTTAACCAAGCACTTAGCGGCTAAGTTTATGCACAAAGCCTCTTTAAGAAATTTAGCCTAATGATCACGTTATACGAAATCGGCTAACCCAGTAGATATGATCCTTTTGAAATAATATGTGATATTGAATAGCAAATATAAGCAATTTAAAGAACTCAAAGTATGTGATTCTAGAAGACCATAATTTGATCATAAATAGTCAGAAATCAAACCAATTTTACAATTCAGCTAATGAAAATAAATGGATTAGATTCAGAGATTAGAGATAATAAAACACTTCTTATCCAAACCATTCTAAATAAATTAAATATTAATTTGTTGTTTTTAGGACAAAAAAGGCTGCCTACTAAGATGTTGAGCAAATAGAGTTGAAAACAGAAATGATTGTTCAATACCACTTTAGGAATGGATGGAATAGGTGATTTAGCACACTGCTATGACGTTGAGTGCCAATAAATATGATTAAAGACATACTTCAACTACTAAGAACCTTTAAGTAGTGTAAAATATATTACAAAAATCTCAAACGCAATACAATATTTAGTAGAATTATCAAAATGGTAATTATGTCAAATGCAAAACCTACAAATGTATTTATATGACCCAGTTTCTGTTAATCAAAAGTGAATTCGTTTATAATCACTGACTTGTAATACATTAACATGTTTTATTTATAAAGATACAATTCAATTTACTATCATATCCACGACCTATCAGTTTCGCGCAAGAGCGCTTGACCACTATACCACTGAGACGATATACAACGGTGAGACTGATAGGTTCCGGGTTCGAATCTTGAGGACGCGCACTGCTGAGGAGTGTCTTAATAGGACGAAACAGTCGTCCAGTGCTTCCAGATTTTCCGTGGTGGTCTGTCTTCAATTTACTCATGATTTCAACCATAAGATTACTAAAATCTGTACAAAAACCCCTTTTGATACCATATCTACACATGTTATCTATAGTTACTTGTTTACAAGAAAAATAATAAAGCAATACTAATTGTAATGATCTTAAATATTTAATAATGAACAATAACAAACCAAGTTTAATTAATGATTTACATGAATTAACTCATTACACAATAATACATCAATCAATCTATCCATTGGATTGAGATCTAACATAAGAATCTTATAAATTTCTTGAAAATACTTTAATAATGTATGTTAGAGTCTTGTATATGGGTTAATCTCTATCACTATATACCATGAATAACACTTAAGTAGTTTTAAATTATTATAGTGGATCAATCACTATAAGTGTAACTATTATAAAAAAAAGTTCTTCCCTCCCCCCCCTATTGCGCACTTATGAATGATTTATGTTTTTTTTCAGTTCGAAACAACAACTATTAAAAACTGGTTTCTTACAATCATTTTAGTCCATTAGTTTCTTATATAATTCATTGTATAATTATGAACACTATTGTAAAATATTACTTAATTATACTGTTTATAATAACTACCATTGAAATTCGTAAGTTTCATTATTGTCATTACTATATATGTATATATATATGAAGGTTTAATGGTAATATAACCGGATTATTGAATACTTATAAATTCCCAATTACTGAATTCCTAAGTTGAAATCATGAGTCAATTGAAGCTAGACCACCATCGAAAACCTGGAAGCATTGGACGACCGTTTCGTCCTATTATGGGACTCTTCAGCAGTGCGCACCCACGATCCCACACTAGCGAGATTTGAACCCAGGACCTACCAGTTACGATCCAGAGCCCTTAACCGATAGACTGGTGACTGACTTCAAGATACATGTCCTGGAGTTCTAGTGGGAAGCAGTGACCAGTGGAGTTCAACCACGTCTGTTGTGAGATAACTACTCACTGAAGGCAATTGGTGAAGTGTCGCTAATAATTCGTGGATCAGTTGAAGTTTGACACTAACACCGTTGGATGCCGGCTCAGTAGTCTATCGGTTAAGGGCTCTGGCTTGTAACTGGTAGGTCCTGGGTTCGAATCTCGCTAGTGCGGGATCGTGGGTGCGCACTGCTGAGGAGTCCCATAATAGGACGAGACGGCCGTCCAATGCTTCCAGGTTTTCGATGGTGATCTAGCTTCAATTGACTCATGGTTTCAACTGAAATCTTCACAAATCCCCTTCTGAATACTGAATTCCTAATTATACTACTACTTAGAATATGCTTAGAATATATATACTTAGAATATATTTGGCGAAGACGCTGACAAAATGCAGAGCCTCCTGACCACTATAAGCAACAATCCAGGCATTTTCGGGATGCGATTCTCTCCCTCGAAATTCAAAATGTTAATTCAGGATTGGGTTGCATCGACACCTGAACTGATGCTAGGGAGTGAAGTAGTTGAGCGTATTGACCGTTTCAATTATCTTGGGAGTCTCATCAGCTCTTGTGGTCTGGTGTATGACGAAATCTCAGCACGGATACAGAAGGTTCGTCTAGCTTTCGCCAAATTGCGTCATTTATGGCATAGGCGAGATATCCGTCTAGCAACCAAAGGATGGATTTACTGTGCAGCAGTTCGTTCCGTCCTACTTTATGACAGTGAAACATGGCCGATAAGAGTAGATGATGTGTGTCATTGGCCTGGTCGACAATTCACTGTTCTCTATTTGTCGGTATCGTTACGTTATACATTAATGAGAAACAAGGCCACAAGTTATAACGACTATTAATTACAACGTTTAACTTTATATACTTAAACGTATTCAAAAATGCCATTTTATGGCAAACACAAAAAGTGTTAGTCACCATTTCTTAACTTAACACAATCATTTCAAAAGTATGTAGATAGTTGCTACTTCACAGTTGTTCTCAACTAGAAAAATATTAGTATGAAAACTTTTGGTTGATTTGCTACTATCAGAAGGGGTTATCGTGGATACTATAGTAATTTTAACAGTTGAGATCATTAGTCAATTGAAGATAGATCGATATGAAAAACCTGGAAGCACTGTACAGCCGCCTAGTCCTATTGCGTCACTCCTCAGCAGTGCGCACCTCTTAGTATAAGAATCCAGGACTTATCAGTCTCGCGCGCGAGCGCTTTACCTCTAGACCATTTAGCCGGCTGACATCCAACGTTCTTAATGTCTAACTATTTGAATATTCTATATTCACCTTCATTTACCTTTGAACATTCATAAAGATTATCAAAGTAATCCATTAACTTTATTATCGTAATGATCAGTATATTTACTTTACAGATTATTTAAACAGTTCACTGGTTATTAGTTGTAACATACAATAAGTCATTTAATTTGTGAGTAGTATATTATCAGTAATATATATTATACCAAATTCATTTCATAGAAAATATTCGAAGTGCATGTAAGTAAAGCATGTTTTCTTTCTTTATTACATCATTTTTCACATTTCACTTAAGGATTGATTCCTTTATGTTTTTTTTCTTCTGGTCCTTTACTTATCCAAATGATCCATAACAGGGACGTGTTATCTAACCAATCAGTATTCATCTATGCAATCAAATAATTTGACAATTAGACATCTGGTTGGCGTTTCGTCACCAAGATTATTCTTCACAGGATAGGATTGTCGATCCTATTCATAACTCTCCTCGTTTTGCCCGGATTCGGAACGGGGAGTAACTCTAGAAAAGCTAGAGGAGGAGTTGGAAATTGAAAGTATTTACCATATTCTACTTCTATCAGACTAGAAGAGACATTTAACCATGGAATAAATTAGTTTTAGTTAAAGTATTCGTCGTGAAAACCAAAGTGTGTTCCTTGAATATAATAGCTATACATTAAAATACATTGTTTATACATTTTCTTTCAGTTATACTTTGTAGGATTTATGATTCTTTCCATTCTATGGTTACTACAACTTAATGTACAAAATTTGAAGTATTTTCAGAGTTGAAAACATGAGTCAATTGAAAATAGAACACCATGGAAAACCTGAAAGCACTAAACGGCCGTTTCGTCTTATTATGGGACTCGAAACTATTTCATTTCAATAAATTTGTTACGTTTAAAAAAATATCGTGGATTTGTTGAAGTTAGACATAAACACTATTGGATGACGACTCAGTAGTCTAGAGGTTAAGCGTTCGTGTGTAAGACTAAAGGTCCTGAGTTCGATTCCCTCATGCGGAATGGTGTGTGCGTACTGTTGAGGAGTCCCATACTGGGATGAAACGGCTATCTAGTGCCTGCAGGTTTTCATTAATGGTCTAACATCAATCTATTCATGATGTCAATCATAAAACTTAACAATCTTCACAACCTCAAACTGATTACTATCGTTTACTTTGATTTAGTCAAAAAGCGACCACCTACATGTAAGTATTCATTTTTATTCCGATAATAAAAGTAGACTATGATGGAATAATTTTAAGAGAAAACACTTTTCTATCCAAATGGTTCTGTTTTTCAATCCAAGACTATGTTTTGATTTGTCTTTAACTGCTTATGAGTACACATAACAAAGCTCTCATTGTTAACTTTCTTAGTGTCTTATTACATTACGAGTTGATAATTGAATCATTAGGTGCTTATAAGTCTGCCTAATCGTTTAATAACACAGCAAAGTTTTTCACGAAATCGAGGTTCAGAACAACAATTTACCTAGAGGAAGGTTCTATTATTATGCCCATATGTAAATTGGTTAGAAAGCTAAACTTGAGAAGTATCTGTGACAATTAACATGTCCGCTTGACTACCATTGCATTATCCACTTAGTTACTGAGTCTTGATAGCCAATTGCTTATGCTATGGGGTGAATTTTAAATTAACTTGGTAAGCATGTACATTCAGCTGACAAGTCTCAAATTGGAAGAAACGCTCGTCCAACTGGTTACCACCGCTAGCTGCCATCCATCTTTGCTTGTAAAAATCTTTGGTTATTTCAGATTATATTATTCAGCCTAATAATTCAGTGAAGTATGTTATTGTCAAGACATTCAGAAACTTGATTCATTTTTCTCAATTTGTAAACTACTCATATATCGATTTCTAGTGACATTCAATATTCAATTTTTGATTCATTAAAAAACCGGAAAGGCAAACAAATACGTCAATTATTTTGATATATTACGTGTGACAATCTCCAGGAGGTATTGACTGGAGTTCCAATGGGCAAACTGTTACCAGTGAAGTCTGACCAGGTCTGTTGTGAGATAGTAACTCACTGAAGACAGTGTTGGACGATGGCGCGATTTCGTTGAGTGTTTGAAGTTAGACATTAACAAAATTAGATCCCGGCTCAGTGGTTTAGAGGCACTCGACACCGATAGATCCTGAGTCTAAATTCAGTGAACCAAATCGTGGATGTGCACTGCCGAGTTTTCGCCTACCAGGACGAAACAGAAGTCCAGTGCTTCCAGGATTTTTATGGTGGTCTATCTTCATTTGACTCATGAATTCAACCATTAGATGTATAATTATCATTGTTTAACAGTGATGATTGTTATTTATAAAACGTTTTTTTTGTTTTATTTTATTTAACAGCATTTTTAGTTATGGAAAATCTGTATGTCAGTTATTAAGAACAATATCGTTGCTTAAAGTCATACAGTGTGAATTTAATAGCAAGATATAACCTATTTGCTATACTCTTAAAAAACCCCTTTGAAGGTGTTTTTATATGAATACGATGATGCTGATAATACTTTTATTTAGTATCTTTCTCACTCCCTAAAAATCATCAATCAATAGCCGCTCTTGTAAACAATCAGTAACTTAGTAACTGATCATCAAATTGTCATCAGCATTAAAAATTTTAACATTCTATCATAATCTGAATCAGTGAAGAGCTCCTGGATGTTTATTACTTTGAAGAAAGTTTATTTGATATTTTAATTACAAGGTAGTTTTATAGTAGTTTTATGAATTACTATTATCTATACCTGGTAGCACTGGACTGAAGTCTCGTCCTAGTATGGGACTCCTCAACAGTGCGCATCCACGGACCCACCCGTGGGATTCGAATCCATTACCTATCGGTCTTGCGTGCTTTATTTGTATATTGACCCAGTACGTTTGAAATATATGATTCGTATAGCGGAGGCTGACATTAGTTTTCTAGTTTGAAGCGCCTGGGCAAAGTGAGAAGCTACTAACTCAAAGGACTAGTAAGAACTCTAGGCTGTTCGTACTAGTTTATACGTCATTAATCTGGTCATATGAATCGGCGTCTAAATGATGGTTGTATCATGTGATAGAAATTAATCGGGCATAACGCCTTCATAGTAACAATGATGTCAGACGGCTAAAATGTGATTAAATTTATCATCTTTTTATAAAACGGGCCTCGAAATCTATCCAAGAAGTTCTATTTGTGTTATATCTAGAGCTTTGAATCTTGATATACCGTGTACAACTTGAGCACTCGAACGCTAGAACCCTCCTAGTTGCAAATGAGAAGACAGAAGACAAGTGAAAAGAATGCTATTCTGAAGAGTGCCAGTTGCGGCACAAAACTCTCAGGTATTTATAGTTCTTAGTATAAACGAAATCATCATTATAGTCATCCGATCTACATACAGGAGGTTGTTAGCATTGTCAACTAGGGGAGCTGCACGTAAGGATTCTGGAACGTTCCAACAGAAATTTATTGGATGGAACATCTTCGGCTCTTTCTGAGCTTCTTTGAGTTTCCTCGAGTTCACCTAGGAGCCATCCTCCCAATTTAGCTTTAATTTCTTTATATTATCTTGAGAAGAGATTATTAAACTATTTTTATTATCAATTTAACTGTAATTTTATTTCAAATTTACTTTAGGACTTCAACAGAGAGATTTAAGTAAGAGTAAATCTTTAAATGAATGTTGAGTAACTTCGCAAATTTGTATATATATTAATTTTAATAGTTGAAATCATGAGTCCATTGAAGAAAGACCACCATACAAATCTTGGAAGCACTAGACAGCGCTTTCGTCCAAGTAGGAGAAAACTCATCAGTGCACATTCACGATTTCGTTCAAGGGATTGTGACCCAGAATCTATTGAAGTCGCGCTCGAATTCTTAATCTCTAGACAACTTAACCGGGATCCAATAGTGTTAATGTCTAATTTCAACCAATCCACGAATCGCTCCAACGTCGACCATTGTCTTCAATGAGTTACTATTTCACCACAGACCTGGTCAGACTCCGCTGGTTACTGTTTTTCACTAGAACTCCAGGAAACACCTCTTGAAGCCAGCGACTAAATATCTCATGAACTACAGTAATTTCCACACAAACCCTTCATGATAATATATTTTACTAACAAATTAGCCAACAGTGAAATGTTCATCTCCAATTATATTGTAAACTAATACTCAAACACTTGGTATTATTTGTTTGAATCTTCCCATTGATGTTTACGAACGCAACTGGTCAGTCTCAGAGTGAACATCAACTCTAAGATGCAGGTACATCCCAAATAGGACGAAACACGCGTCAAACTGGATGCCACTACTAGCCACTATCTATCTTTGTTTACTAATACTCAAACAATTTTACATTTATATATGATATTTCACAATTGATTGATCACTGGGTGGTGATCAATCTCATGCATGTCAGGTCCTTCTTAGTGCTGATCGAATGCTATCGATCGAGTTGCAATGTGGCCACCAGTCTAGGTTGCTCGACACTGCTTGCACTATATATACTGAGGTAAGATGGTGGTTGGAGGTGTTCAACAGGAAACCCTGGACCCGGGTTTTGTGCTACTTGGCACTCATCAGCAAGGTGTACCTGTAATCCTGAGGGAAGTGATGTTCCATGGCGGATTCGACGACGAGTGCCAAGTAGCACGAAACACGGGTCCAGGGTTTCCTGTTGACCACCTCCAACCACCATCTTACCTCAATATATGATATTTATTTAGCTAAAAAATAAACAATTAGCTTCAGCTACGGATATACTCTCATAATAACCCTAGAAAATCAACATTTTCTACTTGAATTAGTATTGTGCTAACAAATTGTACTCTAACTTTGTGTATTATTACACAATTTGTGAAAACCAAAACCATGTGAAGTTTTTTAAGGATGCTTAAGTACACAAGATTTTGTCGACTTAAATTGATTGATTTATTGATTTGAAAACAAATATTAAAAACTTATTTTCATTAACACAAATACTGCTCGGTGTTGCCTAGGTGACCAATAAAACTAATTCAATGATGGATTTAAAATGTAATAACGGGGTTAAATGATTCACAACTGAATTTAATTCTCATTTAGTATGGATAAAGTTGTTTAATAGTTTCAATGTACACTATTAATAGTTTGAGTAGACATTTTTAGGAGAATGAGAGAGCCATGTATTTTGAAAATTGGATATTCTGGAAATCAAAACGAATACATTCTATAGTAAAATAATCAATTTCTGAAAGATAAAGGAGTGTACGAATGTATTTGACCATACTAGATGGTCACACCTTTATCAAAATGATGAATTCTTTTAATATGATCTCATGATGTACATTACTGACGAGCCTTATACTGGGATGAAACAAATCTGTAATGTTATCTATGTTTATAATTTAGTATACCGGAACATCTACCATACCATTCAAATGATAAAGTTTATCAGATCTAGATGGAAGATTATTTCTTGGACGTTTTCATTGTAACTAATAAATACAATTCAATTTTCATAGTTGAAATCATGTGTAAATTAAAGCTAGACTACCATGGAAAACCTGAAAGCACTTGACAGCCGTTTCGTCTAATCGTGGAACTCTTCATCAGCGCGCATCTACGATCCCACACTCACGAGATTCGAACCCAGGACCTACCAGTCTAGCGCCAGAGCACTTAGCTGATAGACCAATGAGCCGGCATCTAACGGTGTTAATGTCAAACTTCAATCAATTCACGATGTTTGAGTAACCATTCACAAGTGCATGATCGTGGATGCGCACTTCTGAAAAGTCCCATAATAGGACGAAACGACCATCCAGTGCTTCCAGGTTTTCTCTGATGGTCTATCCCCAATTGACTCATAACTTCAACTATGAAAAAAAAACTGAAATCTCCACAAAACTACTTCTGATCTACAATTCAATTTGTTTATTTTAATTACAGGAAACTTTTTTATCATTGTTTTACTAGTTTCAGCACTTGGATGGTTCTTTTAGGATAAACTAATTGTTTCCATTTATTCATTTAATATTCTTGTATTTCAATAAAACATTTTACAATCAAAATAAATGAATTCTTCTTTGTGTTACGGGATTTATAGTAGTTTTGTTTGCTTGTTTGTTTGTTTTCTTGATGGAAAAAAGAAATCGGTATGTAGGATCCCAACACATCACAGATCCATTTTGGTGGGGAAAAAGATTTTCATATGTAATTCTGACATGAATTACTTTATGTAATTCATAAATTTCGTTCATCAGTATACATGTGTACGTTAATGATGTAGATATATATAAGTAGTATTTAATATCAACCAGAAGTGAAACGTATGGTAGTAAAAGGTTGAGAAAATTGAATTGAACAGAGAACAGAAATATAAACAGAGAGTAATTTCTAATAAAGACAAGAATGAAAGATGAAGTTTTTAAGAGACAACAGATGGAAGATATGCAAATGACGTATTCAATGTATGGTCCTCCTAACCATATGAGTTCTTGTTTACTTTATGAATAGTGACTTGAATTCATAGGACGAAGTGATGTTGATACTAGATTATTTTAGTGAATAAATAAATAATTTAACTGACTCGAAATAATTAATCATAAAGTGGTTACGTTCAAAGACACAAGTGTAAGATAAAACATTTTTTAACAGTCAAAGATGGTTAGTGGCTAACAGGGGAATTCAGGATTCAAGTTTCGTCCAGTTTGGGACTGGACGTGTCTGAAAACCAGAAATAGTGCCTACTCCGAGACTTGAGCTCAGTACCGTTCGCTTCAAACACCACCGCGTTATCATTTGAGCTATTTGAGCGCTGATAGTCGCTTGCTTATGCAATGGGGTGAAGTTCAATTCATTTGGTATTATTTACTTGACGTAGGAAAATATCGAGACAGGATCCACATGAACCAACAGCAGACTGATCAACTGCAGTCCTAAATAACAATGGGAAGATACAAGTGAACAACATCATTTGAATTTGAAACTTCACCTAAATGCACAATCAGATTGCTATCAAGACTCAGTAGCTAAGTGGAAAACACAATGACATTTGAAGCGAACGATACTGGGTTGGAGTTCCAGAGTGAACATTAACTCTGAGGTGCAAATACATCTAGCTGATGAGTCTCAATTATGATGAAACAAGAGTCTTGGATTCCACTGTTAGCCACTATCCATCTTTGCTTATAATGCTTGTGAATTAAGGCAATATCGAGGCAATATACACAGAATTCACATATACTAATAAGATACTGATCAATTACAGTCTTAAACATCAATAAAAAGATTCAGGTAAATAATAAAAATTGAATTTCTGCTAGTTTCAAGAGTAAATAAATGAAGATTGTTGTAAATGAAAAGAGAAAACTGATTACAACCATCTATAGATATGAATAATCATATGGTGAAAATGTATAAATTATTAGTATTCGTAAATGAGAAGAGAATAAAGTCCTAACTGATCTGATGGGTTTTTGGTTATCTAACCGTTGTCCCCCTTATAATTTCAGTTCATTTACATATTAACTCAATTAGTAGTAATTATTAGTGATGAAACTCAATGAACTGTTCATTTGAACAAAGAACATGAAGTTTAGTTGGAAGTTTTAACGTTTCTGTTCATTTAACTAAAACGTATATCAAGTACATTAAATTCACTTAGTATTGTTTGTTTGAATCTTCCTATTGATATTTATGACTGCAACTGGTCAGTCTCTAATTAGCATATGTGCATACTGTGCGTATAGCCACGGTATATCCTTAATTCACAAGCATGGTAAGCCAAGATGGATAGTGGCTAGCAGCGGAATACAGGACGCGCGTTTCGTCCTATTTGGGACTCGTCAGCTGGATGTACCTGCATCTCAGAGTTGATATTCACTCTGGGACTCGAACCCAGTACCTTTCACTTCGAACGCCATCGCGTTATCCACTCAGCTACTGAGTCCTGATAGACACTTGCTTGTGCAATGGGGTGAAATTTAAATTCACTTGATATTGTTTGTTTGAATCGAGTACATTGATAATTTCTAGCATTCTAAGTGTCAATGATGAAAAGCAGTTGTCGTTTTTATTAACATAGAAGTAAGTTTCGAGGGAGTTCACTTCGATTTTCATGGCATTTGAGTCAACTTTAAGAAACCTTCTATGCAACCGCTTACATCTCAATCAATGTCTTTGAAGATTCGTTCTTTTATGATGGAAATATGTAAAATTACAATCGAATTAATGGAATCCGTTACCTTTTAGAAAACGGATTAATACTATCTATTTTCAGGTTATTTAAAATCTCATATAAAACATCACTTTAGGTGATATCGAAAATTGGAAGTGATCAGTCTCACAGTGTTCCCGTATTAAGGGATATAATTAGGACGTCAATATGGGTAGAGTTTATTCCTTACTCAGAATCTGCTAAGTTAGTACAGACAACCATTGAAGTAACATTACATCGTATTTGGCATATTAATTTCTACTCTACGTATGGTTTAAAGGAGATTTTTTGACGACAGTACAGTGCACCTGAATAGGGTGAATATAGTTCTTGGAAAAATTGATCAAATCTAGGATTTATATTTAAGTGTTCAAAGTTAAAGGTACTTTTATTAATCATTTAGCAAAACTATTTGAACATAGACCAGAAGATACAGTTTTTACAAATCATTAATTTCACTACTCTCCAAACCATGTTCAGAAACTGGAACTTGAAGGAACGTCTTCTATATTCAAGTTATAGTGAACGTGAACTAAATTGGGGACAACCATATGCATTTCAACTCAAAATTACAGAATCTCTCAGCGAAATCTAAAAACCATACAGTGAATACTTCATTTGCAAAATGTCAATCAATTGTCTCAAACTTGACTATTCCTTCTTGTCCGTACCAATCACCTTCTATTCTCGTTCTACTTTCTTCGATTTTCACTTTCGATTGATGATACATGCTACTTATATCTATCAATATCAGTAGCACATACCACAAAGTAGTTGTAAATATTTTGCAACCAGGAATTATTACAATCACGTCATATACTTGGAAGAAGTATTTTTAAAATCAAGGCCCAGTTTTAAAACAAACGATTTCAAAATGGCTAATAGTGGTTGAGTTAAGTTTAACATTTATTCGAATGATTGATACATACATCAATACTTATAAGAAAACACCACTATTCGACTTGAAGTCTCTACTTTCCAGTCCTATTTAAGTGTATCAACTGCGAACACTTTCAGCAGATTGTCATTATAATCAGAATAGTTTTTTTTGTGGAGATTGTAGTAATTTTATAGTTGAGTTCATGAGTGAATTAAAGATAGACCACTATAGAAAACCTGAAAGTACTAGACGGCTGTTTCGTTGTAGTATGAGTTCGAATCCCGCCAGCGGGATAATGGATACGCACTTTTGATAAGTCCCACACTTTAATAAAACAGCCGTCCAATGATTCCAGGTTTTTACAAGGTGGTCTTGCTTTATTTAACTCATGAACTCAACTATTAGATTGTTATTATTACTATTTGATATGTAAAACAGTAATCTATCTGTTCTTGAACGTAATAGAAGTTCTTTTCAACTGATTTCAATCCTTCATCATGGTTATGAATGTTTTATTGAATTAGTTTGTATCTTTGCTTAATAACTCAGGATTTAATTAAAAGTTTTGGATGAAATAATTATACAATAATAAATTGCTAATTATTCAATTACATTATACTACAACAATAATCTTCTATGGGAGAAGTCAAACCAGCTTCCAACTGAGGAGGAAAATGGGAAAAGATGTCGGGAGTGGATCGAACATACATTACGGAAATCACGGAAATTATGGAACCCAAAACAACTGTCAACCAATATCAAAGTTAGAATAATAAATAAGAACGTCAAGACCGTTCTACTGTACGGAGCTGAATCGTGGAGAACTATTTCAACCATCATCAAGAAGGTACAAGTATTTATAAACAGTTATCTACGTAAGGTACTCAATATTGGTTAGCTGAATACCATTAGCAACAGTCTTCTGTGGGAGAAGACAAGCCAGCTTCTAGATGAAAAGATTTTGTAAGTAAATAGGACATAAATTGAGGAAATCACCAAACTGCATCACCAGGCTGGCCCTAACTTGGAATCCGAAAGAAAAGCGAAGAAGATGAAGACCGAAGGACACATTACGTCGGGAAATGGGAACAAATATGAAAAGGATGAATAACCAGTGGAAAGAACTGGAAAGTATTGCCCAGGACAGTGTTGGATAGAGAATGCTGGTGTTCGGCCTATGCTCCTCGACGAGGGGTAACAGATGTACGTAAGTAAGTAAGTATATTACAAAACACTTTTGCATATGAATATATATTTCAAAGTTTAAAATATCATTGTATTTAATTCATATTACTTCATCAAAATGTTGAAATGATTCATTAAAACTATTTTCATTAATTCACGGTTAATAAAATCACTCAAATTCAAAATGGAAGAATTTTGGCTAATTGTTTTGAATTCAAGAAACAATGTTTAAATAATTCCCTGAATGATTAAAACAAGAACAAAAGAAAAATGGATAACTTGTTAGGATAATAATAATAATTAAAGTAACCTATGTTTAAGGGCACTAATAATATTGACTGATCACAGTTTAATATTTACAACTGACTGATTACTGGGTGATGATCAAGGTCATGTATGTCAGGTAATTCTTACTGCAGATCGAATCCCATCGATCAAGTAGCTATGTGGTCACCAGTGTAGGTGACTCGACATTGTGTGCATTATATTGGGATAAGATGGTGATTGAAGGTAGTCGTATGAATGATTTCCTATGTCTTATCTGTAGTATTGTAATGAATTGGAACAAAAGTGGGGACAATCGAACATATTTGAATACAAAATTACAGAACATTTTAGTAAAATCTGAGAAGTATACAGTAAATACTTTATTTGCAAAATGTCAATCAATTGTCTCAAACTTGACCGTTCCTTCTGCAAATGTCAATTAATCATCTCAGACTTCATTGTTCTTTTGATTCCACACCAATCATTCATTGTCCTTGTTCTCTTTCTTTGATCTTCTTAACTTTCTGCCCCTAGTCATTTCACTTTTGATTGATGATACGTACTACTAATATCTGTCGAAATCAGTAGTACACACGACAGTATTATCAGTTATGGAAACCATTTAATTGTAATACCTGTACATCGGAATACTGACATAAGTAAAGCAACCATTCTTTCAAAATAATTCACATCATAGAGTAGTTAACTTCGAGCTTTAATATACAGTAATCGGATAATTGAACATTTAATTTATGAAGAGTTTATTAGTTTTATGTAAATGGGGTTAGAGAATGCTGGTCGGCGGCCTATGCTCCATTGGGAGTAACAGGCATAAGTAAGTAAGTAAGTAAGTAATGTAAATAAAAGATTAGTATTGACATTAAATAGAGGATTTTCTTGAAATCAAGCTTATATTTAAATTTATCGTAAATATCGATGTCCAAATAGACCATTTAAATAAGACGCTATAAGTATTTAGAGTTAATAGGAGGAAATAGTTCGTTAAAATGGTCTACTTACCAAAATCTTTCATAGAATTCACTACATTGAAAATGTTTAGGTAAACAAGAATTTAGAAAGAGTAGTTATCCTAGTCAAAAATGGGTAAGTTAATGCTAGGGGGTGTAATGTAGATAGTCGACAGGAAAACCTGAAATAAGGTTCTGTGTTAGTCAGTACTAAACAATATCGCGTCTGGATGCGAAAGTTATCTATTATAAACCTATAACATTATTCATTTTAAGCAAAGATGGATAGTGGCTAGCAGTAGAATGCAGGACGCGCGTTTCGTCCTATTTGGGACTCGTCAGCTGGATGTACCTGCATCTCAGAATTGATGTTCACCCTGGGACTCGGAACCAGTGCCTTTCACTTCGAACGCCATCGCGTTATCCACTCAGCTACTGAGTCCTAATTATTCATCTATGCTTTGATCTGGTTATTGTAGCACAATAATTATGGATATCTAACTGTAGAACCCGATAATATATTTGCTGATGACAATTGCTTGTATAGACATTCTTTATATGTCAATACCATAAATGTAAGCTGTGAAATTACAGATTGAATTTTGTATGGACATCAATCAGATAGTTTCATCTTATCAATAAAATGACTATTAAAATGTCTGATTTATTCATATCACTCAATGCAATGGTTTATCTTTGATCAAACATCCATTCAAATTTGCAACTGTATTTCACTTTACCGATGTTATCCACATCTTTTTTGATTATTATTCTCACAATTTCAATGAACTTATGAATTTAGTCATGGAAACGTAGTACATTCGTCGTTTCAATGTTAATTAATTTATTAATTTATTTGAACAAATAAATATTAGAACAAAGAAGCACCGAATACATATGCGCCACACAAGTCACTTGATTTGTGTGTGGGTTGTGATATTATTTGGGTGTTCAAACAGTAGTAGGTGGTTTTCTGAAGGGGACACATCCGGAACATTCTACCTAAAGGTCTGATCTATACGACGGAGGAGTAACATAACTAGATGCAGTCTCATGGTAGCCAGTGACCAACGATCGGTTCATCCCTATTTTTCCCTTCAAGATACTGGAGCCGATGTGCACCATTGATTTGGAATGAGGGTTCACCGACTTCCCTAGATAAACCGTTCGTATCCACCAACCCGGCTAAAACGTCGGATATTGAATTTTCGTTCTCTCAATTGCGAAAACAACACTGTTGTCGCGAGAACGGAGTGATAGGAGTTTGTTGACAGTGTCTGTATACGCGTGGCCATGTGGTAGAGGTGACTTTTCTCACCCTTGGTCGTACCAGAGCATTCGGGGGCTAACGTTAACAATTTTATTCGATTTCCCTAACGACCCTAAATCCATATACTGTAATTTCATATCATACAATTTGCTTGAAACTTGCCTATTGCTTTTAATCAATTATTTAGATTTATGATCATAAAATCAAATGTGAACTGACTGAGAAGAATAGCCTCTGTTCGAATATCATGTATCTTCATTGTAAGATGAATGTTCAAACTGTCAGAATACCTCTACTGGTGACAAACATCTTATTCTTTGTATATGGAAGTTGATTAGTTGTTACCTATAATAGTATTTATGATGTGTAGACATTTATTTTGGTTGTCTTCCACCTTTGTCTGATTATAGACCGTATTTGTTCGCCATTTTTCTTTACAGTTATTAATCCAAACGCAGTTCTGTTAATGAACTAACATCTCCAATCCCAAGTGAATTCTATTTTTCTAGTTCTCTTTTCGCTGCATTGGTTCAGTATTTTACCGATATACCTATTATCTTAATTATCCATGTATATTGAAATATACAGAGGTATTCCATTGCATCTAACAAACTATCTAATAGTTTAAAAATCCTCATAGATAGTTTAAAAATGAACAATATTTGAGCGAACAATTGTTTCTGCAATAACTTCATCATCAGGCTCCACAGTTATAAGTCCTCATAATTATTGTGATATTTTACAAAGTCCAAAATGAGGCATGTATTAATGAATTTGACAATGTTATATGTTAAAAATGGTAAACGTTTGCATCTGCTATTACGACATATATCCTTTAAAATTGTGTTATTTGTAAATTAGAAAGGTCATTTTTGAATTATCCATGGGGATTTTTAAACTACTAAAATCCAGTGAGCACCCAGTTGCACTGAAGGGACTCAACGAATTCTTGAAGTATAGTGCGAAACTCACAGAAGCGAAAACCAATCTTGATTTTATTCGTAATTGCACTGTTACACACAGATATCCGAAAGCCTATTGCAAATCCTTACGACAATGTAAAATTAAACCTAATATCAAATCACTGAAAAGATATGCGCTCAGTCAAATCGAATCTCTTCAAGCATATACTGTAGAATTAGAAAGGAATATTGCACAGCGATTATATGCCGTTGAAGATCTTCCACAAAACTTAAAGGATTCATTTATGACTTATGTCCTAGAAGTACAAAAAACAAGGGAAAACAAAAAGAGAATCGACCTAATCAAAGGACTAGACAACCAGATATTTAAACCGGATTTTCCAGACGACTGTAAGCGGTATGTTTTTAACTTTTCCTCTGTTAATCTCGATAGGACTGAACCAGAGGTTTTATCATCAGGTCCTAAGTTTTGTGATAGTCGTAGACATGTGGATCATCTGAAGACTGATGTCCAGTTTGAAAATCTATTTACCCAGACACAAGACCTTACACCCACGACAAAAGTAGAACATGAAAGGTTCAAAACCACGCTGGTTGACTGCTGTAACCAATTTAAAAGCAACAAGCATTATACAAATAGTATATTGACTGATAAACATCGCGAAGTTATCCGGAAACTAAAATTGAATGAACACACTCTTATCACTAAACCTGATAAAGGATCCGGCACCGTAATTCTAAACAAAACAGACTACATAGATAAGATGAATAACCTACTGCGTGATCAAACTAAATTCCAAAAGCTTGGTTCATGTAAAGACCACAATGAAAAGACTGAACGCCAACTAACTGAGGCATTAAAATTTTTAAAACAACATCAATACATCTCTGAGCATACCTATAATGAGCTCAAGCCTTCTGGAACATATACTCCTCGACTCTATGGCCTACCTAAGATTCACAAACCTGAGGTTCCTTTACGCCCAATTTTGGACATGTCAAACTCACCATACCATTCAACAGCAAAATGGTTAGTGAAATTATTGGAACCATTACACCAAGAACTGGTTAACCACAGTGTTAAAGACGTGTTTAAATTTGTGGATTCAATAAAAAATAGGAATATAAATGGTAAAACCATGCTATCACTAGACATAGCATCTTTGTTCACTAACATCCCCCTGATTGAAACTATCGATTACATATGTGAACAAGTGGTAGAAAAGAAAATAGGGATACCGATTCCAATAAATAAATTGAAAGAACTCCTGTTGAAATGTACTATGAATATCTACTTTAAGTTTAACAATGAATTTTACAGACAAGTAGATGGAGTAGCAATGGGATCACCACTAGGCCCGATCCTTGCTGACATTTTTCTGGCCAAACTGGAAAATGGACAGTTAAAAGACACCTTAAGTAAGTTATACTACTACTGTCGATACATAGATGACACACTAATCGTATGCGACGAAATGGTTGACAAACAGGAGATGTTAGACTTTTTCAATAACGTCCACCCAGTTATTCAATTCACCAGCGAAGAAGAGAAAGACAATAGTATAGCTTTCCTCGACGTCCTACTTTCTAGAAGGAGAGATGGTTCCATTAAACGAAATATATTTAGAAAGAATACATGGACGGGTCAGTATACCCATTTCCAAAGCTTCACTCCTCTTCAGTATAAAATAAATTTGGTTAAATGTCTCAGTCACAGAATCAAGCTATTATGTTCTGAGGACACTGTTGAGAGTGAAATAGATATACTGAAAAATACATTGCGAAGGAATGGCTACCCGGATAAGTTCGTTAAGAAATACCTAGTAGAAAGTACTGTTAAAATAAGAAGAAATTGTGAAACAGTGAGTAAAAAAACCTTGTATTTGAAACTGGACTTCAAAGGTGACATAGCGAGTGATATTCTAACACGCCGATTGAAAAGATCGGTTGAAAGGACGTTTTACGCCGCTAAGCTACACGTCACTTTCTCAACTAAACCAGTACTCACACAATTAATCAAGGATAAGTTACTGAAGATGGGCTCTTCCATGTGTGTATACCAATTCAACTGCTCCTGTGGAGCTAGTTACATAGGCCGTACTCAGAGGGCTTTATCCTTGCGTATTCGTGAACATGTACCAGCATGGTTGGGAAAAGGAGTCACTAAATCCATTAACAGCGCCATCCTTTCTCACTTGGTAGACAGTGAACATCATATCAAAATAGAAGAAGCCTTCTCTGTTTTATATCAAATTCCGAAAACTCTACCTCAAAGAGCTAGATTACGATTACTTTACAGAGCCGAAGCCATCTGGATCAACTCTAGAAAACCAAACTTATGCATCCAAAAAAGTATATCCAGCCACTATGTTTACCTTGTCCTACGACTGGATCACCGGTTTCCTAAACTAAATATTATAAACCTCCCCTTTTTTTCTTTTTCTTTGTTGATCACCTCTATCTTAATCTTCACATCCATCATTCCCAATTCCTTTATCGTAATTATTTTGATAACATCCCCCTTTTATTACATATTATATTCACACAACAATCTTATTATTATTACTATTACTATTTATCATTATTATCTCAATTGACAAGATGAAGTTCAGAGGGGGTTTTGTGGAGAATTTAGTATTTTCATAGTTGAAATCATGAGTCAATTGAAGCTAGACCACCATCGAAAACCTGGAAGCATTGGACGGCCGTTTCGTCCTATTATGGGACTCCTCAGCAGTGCGCATCCACGAAACCCGCTCCCGCTAGCGAGATTCGAACCCAAGACCTACCAGTCTCGAGCCGAAGCCCTTAACCGATAGACCACTGAGCTGGCATCCAACGGTGTTAATGTCTAACTTCAACCAATCCACGATATTGAGCGACCGTTCACCAATTGTCTTCAGTGAGATGATATCTCTACAACAGACCTGGTAGAACTCCACTGGCCACTGCTAATGAAATTCTCCTACTATGCACTTTATTCACACAATTTTTGTTTTGCATTTTCATTTTTTTCGAAATTACTATTAAATCGATTGTGACTAGACACTTGATTACAAATCACTTTGACCTTTATTATTAAATGACCTTTCTAATTTACAAATAACACAATTTTAAAGGATATATATATGTCGTAACAGATGCAAACGTTTACCATTTTTAACATATAACATTGTCAAATTAATTAATACATGCCTCATTTTGGACTTTGTAAAATATCACAATAATTATGAGGACTTATAACTGTAGAGCCTGATGATGAAGTTATTGCAGAAACAATTGTTCGCTCAAATATTGTTCATTTTTAAACTATCTAATGTTCAGAAAGTAAAAGCTGAGTAGGTAACTGCTTTGCTCGATGTTCCGTTAACAAATCAGTTTGTTATTTCTATTATATATTCTTCATAAATGATAACATTAGCCATTTGCTGTTATGAGAAAACGAATCACGATCCATTATTGCTATACAATTCTTTAGTTAAAGTGATGAAGATACTTTATAGTTTATTATGATTACATTTAGAAGAATATTGGTAGAATAATCATGTTAATAAACATTTACTAACCTCTCTTTTGGTGGATTAAATTCTGAAGGATTGCATCATAAAGACAGATACAAACTTTATAGTGAATGAATAACAATTTTAATAGCTGAGATCATGAGCCAATTGAAGCTAGACCACCGTGGGAAACCTGGAAACATTGAACGGTCGTTTCGTCATATCGTGGGACTCCTCAGCAGTGCGCATCCACGATCCCGCCTCTCAAGTTTCCAACTCAGGACCTATCAGCCTCGCGCGAGCGCTTAACCTCTAGACCACTGAGCCGGCCGTCATCTAACGGTGTTTTTGTTTAACTTCAACCGATCCACGAAATTGAGCGACACATCCACCATTGTCTTCGGTTCGTAAATTTAAATTTCGTAAAGATTTTAATAATTTTATAGTCGAGATCATGAATAGGTCCTAGGTTCAAATCTCGCGAGGTGGAACCGTGGATGCGCACTGCTGAAGAGATCTACAATAGGGCGAAACAGCCGTCCAGTGCTTCCAGGTTTTCCATGGTGGTCTAGCTTCAATTACCTCATGATTTCAACTATAAAATGTATTTCATACACGTTGTATTCATCATGAGACATAAAGAAATTTCTAATTTGATTGCAGAGGTAACACTGGAATTTCATGAAATCGTTATTGCTTTAACAGTTGTTTCCAGGTTATCAATGTTAGTCTAACATCAGTTGATTCATGATCTCAATCAAACTATTAACAATCACTATAACCACTATACCGATGATATCACATTTGTTCTATAAATGATAAACGACATTACATTCTCAAGTATCAATGCTAAATTTCATATAAACTGAGTATTAAGTTAAAAAGTTATTAATAAATATAATTTGTTTGATATTTCAATGAATAGAAAGTTATTTTTCTGACGTTTCGTAACTTAATATAAATCACCTCGTCAGTATTATATTGTATTTAAACTTGTGTTAATTGTATTTCGGTTATTATTTTACAACTTCCGACTGAAGAGGAAATTAGGAAAAGAAGTTGGAAGTGGATAGGACATATGTTGAGGGATTCACCAAACTGCATCATAAAGTAAACTCTAAATTAGAATCCTGAAGGGGAACGGAAAAGAGGAAGACCAAATAGAACCAGATATGAAAAGAATGAATAACAACTGGAAAGAAATGGAAAGGATTGATAAGGACAGGGTTGGATGGAGAAATCTCGTTGGCGGCCTATGCTCCTCCATCAGGAGTGACAGGCTCAAGTAAGTATTTAATTATTTGCTTTGAAGAAGTGGATTAGATGAAGTTACGAAATGTCAGTAATACAATTTTTCACTCATTAAAATATTATAAAAATATGTATATATATTTATCATTGTGTTCTTAGCTTACATTGTTGTATTAAACCAAGTAAAAGGTGGCCTAGTTTTTAGTTTTTTCGTCTTCACTATACAAAATGACGTACCTTTTTCATTCATCCAATGTTTGTCTATTTTATAAATTAATATAGAAATAACCAAACGCTTATTTTAAAATTGATCAAAAAATGAAATGAACCAGTAAATTAAATTATAATGCCAGCTCGGTGGTCTAGTGGTTAAGTGCTCGCGCACGAAACTGATAGGTTCTGGATTTGAATCTCGAGAGGTGGGATCGTGGATGCACACTGCTGAGGAGTCCCACAATAGAACGAAACGGCCGTCCAGTACGTCCAAGTTTTCCATGATGGTCCAGCCTCAATTGACTCATGATTTCAACATAAAACACCCTTCTAAAACTAATTGACTGTTGATTTTCACACTTATACTACTTAAATTGGCTACTAATAAATTGAAGAAAAAAAACTATATTTAGAAGCATTTCAACTGTTTCACTTTAATTGAATGTATATAAATACCACGAGTACAAAATAGAATGAAACAGAATTCTGACAGATCCATATGTAAACCACAAATAATCAAATGAAAAATGAATAATGAATCCTTGCAGAGGAAATACGGAAGAGACCTGAGGAAATCATCAAACTGCATCACGTGGCGAACCCTAACTTGGAATCCTGAATGGAATCGGAAAAGAGAAAGGTCAAAGGACACATTACAACGGGAGATTGAAGCAAATATTGAAACGATGAATGTTAACTGGAAAGAACTGGAAAGGATTGGCCAGGACAGGGTTGAATGAAGAATACTGGTAGGTGGCCTATACTCCTTAACAAAGGGTAACAGGCATAAATAAAGTAAGTAAGTATTATTGAATAAATTTAAATACAGTGAAAGATTTGTTGTATAGAAAACCATTTATGTTATTCATTGCAGAATGGATCTATAACATGGTCAGGAGCATACTAGGCTATCATGAAAGTATATGATATTTATTAAAGGTGATTGTAATGGACAGTGATTAAGCTATTTCAGAACGACCAGTACTAAACGTACTTCGCACAATCTGATATCCTGTTATTTTAATTTTGAACTATCACCATGTCCTACCTAACCGTTTGGATGTAATATATATATAACTTTATAGTTAGTTACATGTTACTATTTTCATTGATAGATTCCCACTTTTGTGTCAGCTCAAACATAATGGAACCATTAAATAAACCTACTAGTGTGTGTGTTGTTCAATTTAATAACTGACTACTTACATAATTTGATCATTTCTGGGGGGTTAAAACACAAACAAGGAACATTAGAATATATTGACATAAATGTTAGTTACTTAGTGATTAAATTGCGGTTACATTCCATCACACGTGACACATATTTCTTAAGTAACATTATTAGACTTTCTTTGCTGCTGATCTTTATTATTACTACGCTGGAATCGAACCCAGGAATGACGGTCGCTGACATACACTGATTAGGAGTCACATACTAGAACAAAATAGACATCCAGTAATTCCAGGTTATCACTGGTGGTGCGATTTCGATTGCTTAGTGATTTGAATGAACAAAACTCATAACTCAGGAAAAAATGATATACTTTTAAGTTAATATCATTATGGGGAAACTTACTTTCTTTGAAGGTAACTAAAAAGTTATGTTAAATTTATATGTGTAGTAATGGTGTAAGAAATAGACACAATCAAATATGGTTGTGAATGGATCAATGTTTGACTATCACAGGAAAGCTGGACGCACTAGGCAACCGTTCTGTCCTAGTATGACACTCCACAAAAGTGCCCATCGACGGTCTCACACGAGGGATCCAAACCGAGGAACTTCAGTCTCACGCGCGAACACTTAGCCAATAGACTATCGGGTTGGCTTCCAACTTCAACCAATCCACGATATTGTTCGACCGTTTACCATTGTCTTCAATGAGTAAATCTCACACACCGATCCCGCGTGCAGGATCGTGGATGCGCATTTTTAGGGAGTCCTATACTAGGACGAAACGGTCGTCCAGTATCTCTAAGTTTTCAATGGTGGCCCGACATTGATCCATTCTTAATCTTAATCAAAACTCAGCAATCTCCACAAATTTATGTTGATAAATATGGTTGTTTAGATAAGTGATCGATTGAACATAGTAAACGTTGTCAGCTTCTTGCTTGAATAAACCATTTTAGATCATTGTTATTTTGATTAATGATTCGATAGTTTTTGAAAACAGCATGTACTGCTTTCGTAGATTTAATTAAGTGTTCATCAACTTCCTCATGACTTTTAAGAAGACTTTTGTGTAGCCTTAATGTATTTAAGCTGGAGTCATGATTTTATAAGACGAAAATAGAATATACAAGGCATCTCAACTGACATAACCTAATGTGCAGACAGAATACTTTGTGGAAGTTAGGGTTCTTTTTAACTAAAACGTCTTAAAATTTTGGTCGGTTCACAGTATATTTTGATTATGTGTATTTTAAGACTCACCAGAGTTCTTAAGTTGTACCATGGAGGTAAGGTAAAACTACGGTACCAATTCATAATGCTTTGTTTAAGTTAATAGTTAATAATCAAGTACTTCGTTAAAGTACTTTCTGAATAAGACGGACGGAAAAAAACATTAAGATCCACGATCCTAATAATGTATTTCCGTTTCCTCAGTTAAATCTTTAGCAATGTAGTAACCATTGTGGCCCTCTTGAGTAAACTTAGAACCCAGTAGTATTTTGTAACAAACGTGAAAAAGAATAGGACAACCTGTTGTAATATAGCACTCATCAAACAAAACAATTCTGAAAATTACTTAGCACCACTTCACAGAAGTTCATAACCTACACAATAATTGATAGCTGTCATAATCAACAATTTTGTATATAGATATAATGATTCAAAAAATCAAGTGAATTCCACGTCTGTTGTTACTTACGACTTTCAGCCACAACGGTGCTCGTGTCTGATGAAACATAAAGATCAAACCGAAAATTTAGTCACTAAAACTGATTGATTCATCGACAAATTCATTGAGAAATATTCAATCCTTAAACTTCACCCCATTGAAAAAGCAAGTGATTATCACGACTTAGTACCTAAGTGAATAACGCGATGGTGTTAGAAGGAAATGGCAATTTGTTCGAGTCAAGGAGTGAACATCAACCCTGAGATGCAGGTACATCCAGCTGACAAGTCTCAAATAGCATGAAACCCGCTTCCTGGATTCCGCTACTAGCCACTATCCATCTTTGTTTATAATCAGCGTTTTCCTAAAGAAATCGATTACAAACAATACTAAATAGCTAGTAAAACAAATAGTTCTGTACACAGACATGATGATCCAGACAATCAAGTGAATTCCACATCTAATGTTACTTACGACTTTCAGCCACAACGGTGCTCGGGTTTGCTGAAATCGAACATAGACATCAAGTTGACTTACTATCAAGATAAAATTTATAAATAACTAAATGATTTCCAAACAAATATGAAATAGTTGAAAGCGTGAATCAATTGAAGCTAGACTACCATGGAAAACCTGGAAGCACTGGACGGTCGTTTCGTAATATCTATCATGAGACTCCTTCAATTGACTAACGCATTCAACTATGAAAATACTGAAATATCCACAAAACCCCTTCTGAATTATGAAATAGTTATGATTTTCAATCTGATGATCAAGTCAGTCAAAATAATTTATACTGAGACAGTCTAATATTCACTACCATAACACTTATTGCATGCATCAGTTTTAAATTCGTTCGTTAATGAAGAATACTAAACATAGACTGATATTCATAATTAAGAATGCGGAACAGCATGTGGAATAATATTCATTGATTTATAATTTTATTGATGTTACCGCTAAGATGGTTCAGTGATCCCAGTGAACTATGTTCAATAGATTTGATTTTCCGTTACTACACTTGCTGTGTATTCTATTATCAGTGTTATTTGTACTCTAATATAATCCATTGAAGATTCCACGTGCCAGTATTAATATAATTAACAATGCAATTACAAACAGATCTAAATCTGGTGTTAATCCTATACTACTATCATTTCAGTCCATCCAGTAATGTCCATTTAATCAAATTATTCATCAATTGTGTATTACTACTGTATATGTTAGTGAACGAAAGCTATCATCCAGAAGTTACAGGTGTTTATTAACAGTTTTCTAATCAAGATACTTCGGATCCATTAACCAGGCACTATCAGCAACATTCTACTGTGTGAGAGAACAAACCAGATTTCAGTGGAGGAAGAAATCAGGAAGACGTGCTGGAAGTGGATAGGACACACATTGATGAAATTACCCAACTGAAGGCCAAAGGAAAAAAGACAGACCACACAACACATGATGCCGAGAAATGGAGACAGACATAAGAAGAATGAGCAAAAATTGGATAGAAGTAGAAAAACTGGCCCAGGACAGAGTGAGTCGGAGAATGATGGTTAGCGGCATATGCTTCATTGGGGGCAACAGGTGTATGTAAGTAAGTACGTAAGTATATGTTAGCGAATTCAATTACTGAACTACACATTCAAGTACATTAGTATTCTACTTCTCATTGAATACATTTGTCCTTAATCATCGGTCATAAAGACAACGAATATAACAGTGATGTCAAAATATTAATCAAAAGTAATATGTTTATCAGTTGGTGAGTAACATCTATCTCCAGTCTATTTCGTTGTATAAGAGAGGTTGTTATTAGAGTAAGTGGAAAAAAACATATGTAAACTTACTTGGAACTGCATTAGCTGAAATCAATCAATCATTCAATTGGTAACAATCAGTCACTAAATATACAAGACATTTTACATGCAACCTCATTTTCCTTATGAACATCATACGAGGAAAATTAACACTTCAAATACTACTACTTTACCGTTATGTTTCCGATCATGATGAGATTTTTTGTATTGTTTATTCTACCAAATAACATTCTGTTTACTCAAACAAAACACTCATCTGTCAATAGTTCGCAAGTTTGTGGATCAGGATTCTCATTTATAGGACCTTCTGACATGTTGAAGTGATTGCCTCCTTGATCCTGTTATATCTCGAAGAGAATTATGAATGATGACTTTGAGAACTGTTTCTGTACTAATATGATACATATATTTTTATTGTGTCATCGTTACTTGACTAAAATATTCATATTCTCGTCTCCCTTATTATAAGCTTCATTTTGACCCATGAATTGTTATTGTACGATTTACCATTCTTGAGTTATGCCCTGTCTATTAATTACTGTCACCTCTATCCACAGCCACATTTGGCTGGATCTTGTACAAATGTTGTTATCCTATTTTATGGCACGATGTGGTCTGTTTGATTGGTATATAAACCGAGTATACTTGAAATATAATGATTCATACCTCAGAGGCTGTTATTAGTATTGTGGACTTAACCGACTGTGCTAGATAGAAAGCGGGACTGATAAGTACTCTAGACTGCTCGCACGAGTCTGATCGATAAACCACTGCTCTCTAATTGGTGGTATTATCACGTCATACAATAACAGAGCACACAGGTCACAAGATATAACAATCAACTTTCACAGGTTTTAACAATTGGCAACCACCAGATATAACAGTTTATTAGTTAGTAGACATAGGGACTTAATGTATCTTCATCAGTTACTATTCATATATATATTGTATGAATGTATAAAAAATGATTTTCAAAGGAAACAAATATCTATATTTGAAGTAATTAGTCCTTTTGATATATTTCGATAGTGTAATAAAAAGACGAAGATTATCAGGACTATGTGATGACACATCCGCGCAACACATCTCGAACAATCTGATCACACATATACTTGTTAAGAACATTTATATATAAAAAAATAAAAGGTCAATTAGACTAGAAATGGGGGGGGTAAGGGTAAACAAGGATAATAATAATAATGTGGTGGTGGTAGGGGGTTTCTGTTTTGTGGTCATTATTATTGATAAATTGATATCACTTCAAGTGATCTATCGTATACCTCTATCATTTCCCAACGGAGTTCGCTCCCGTCTACTTCATATAGCAGAAACCATAGGAATTCGTACATTCCATCCTAATTTATATGTACAGAAGAAATTCCTTACCCCCCTATCCCTTCCATGGCCGGACATAACTTAATAAATGACATTATTATTTGTAAAATTGATTTTTATTATCTTAATTTGGTTATCAATTGTTTGTAATTTTCTACCTCTTTTCGTTTGTATTCTTCACTATCATCATATAGTTCTGATAATCTTCGTCTTCTTATTACTACACTATCGAACTATCTATATAATGAAATCATTCATTGTACTAATTATGAAACTTACCATTTATTATCATCAAACAAGTACATATACAGAGTATACCAATTATCATGGTATTCATGATTCCTAGTTAGCAACTAATAATTGTAAACTTTTAATCTGTGAAAATGGAAATTGTAAAAGATTGCTGATTATGTAATAGAACGTTTATTTAAACAACGTTGTATTTACTTTGAAACAAGACTTCTTTTTTTTTTCTTTTTCATTCATTTCGCCTTCATTGTGATATAGAAGATCAGATTTCATTGAAAATGTTGAGTCGTATATTTAATTAAACTGATTGAATTTCTTGTATATTCTTTTTGTTTAGCGAATTCGTTGTTTTTATTACGTATTCATGAATTCTAGATGTTTGTTTTCATTGAATGTTTGTATTACTAGATGTATGATCTTTCATGGTTGAAATCATGGGTCAATTGAAGCTAGACACTCTTGGAAAACCTGGAAGCTGTGGATGGCCGTTACGTCCTATTATGGGACTCCTCGGCAGTGCGCATTCACGATCCCGACTCACAAGATTCACACCCAGGACCTACAAGTCTCGCGCCAGAGCACTTAACCGACAGACCACTGAGCCGGCATCCAACGATGTTAATGTCTTAATCCAATGAATCCACGATGTTTGAGCAATCGTCCACCAATTGTCTTCAGTGAGTTGTTATCTCACAACGGATTTGGTTGAACTCCACTGGTCACTGCTTCTCACTGGAATTCCAGGAAATAAATCTTGAAGTCCTGGGTTCGAATCTCGCGAAACGGGATCGTGGATGTGAACTACCACTGAGAAGTCTCATAATGGGACGAAACGGCCGTCCAGTGCTTCCAGGTTTTCCATGGTGGTCTAGCTTCAATTGACTCGTGATTTCAACCACGGAAAATACTGAAATCTCCACAAAATCCCCTTCAGATTTGTGATCAATGATCTTTCTCTTGATCTGTATATCAATATTTGTATATAACAGTTTGCATCGAATATATTTGAATATAGCGTCTTAAAAACATAGTTAAACAAAATTTGAGCCACACCCGGAGCATTCGACCTAAAGGTCTGATCCACAAGACAGTGGAGCAACGTAAGGAGATGAAGTCTCATGATAGCCAGCCATCAATAACTGGTTCATAAGCCATTTGTCCCTTCAAGATGCTGGAGCCGATATGCATCATTGGCTTGGAATGAGGATTTTCCAACTCTCCTAGATGGATCCTTCGTATCCACCAACCCAGTTAAACGTTGGACATTCAATTTTCGTCTTCTCAATTGCGTAAACAACACGGTTATCGTGAGAACGGGGAGATAGGACTTTGTTGACAGTGACTGTATATGCATGGCCATGTGAAGGCGTTTTGAGAGGTAGAGTTGGCTTTTCTCATCCTCGGTCGTACCAGGGCATTTGAGGGCATCCCTGTGTTCTCCGGTATATACATCATGGACTTAGAGATGACATTTCTGAAGTCATAAATTACAGAGTTTATATCATAGTTTGGATGTGAATAACTCGTCTTCATGTTTAACCACTTAACTTAACCAATTTATACAAAATACATACGATACTTGGATTCTTATTGTAAGACACAATTTCTAGAACACATTTCTTTTTATCAGAAAGGAGTTTTGTGGAAATTTTAGTAATTTCTTAGTTGAATTCATGATTCAATTAAAGCTAGACCACCATGAAAAATCTAGAAGCACTGGATAACCGTTTCGTCCTATTATAGGACTCCTCAGCAATGCACATCCAAAAGATGTTATCAGTTATCTAAGTTCAAGACTAACAATTCTTCTACAATATTTAAACTGCCTAAAGCTCTTTTCAGACTGGCGGCCTTATTTCTGTATATTCAACGGTTTTTGTTTTACACGAACATTACGTTTTGAAGATTCTTATTGAATAATTAGAAGCAAAATGAATCTTCTAACATCACTTATTTTTCAGAATGTCCTTATAAGGTTGCCCATTTATCAATCAGATAGATCTTTTAGTCTTCATCAAATGAAATTTTGAAAATTCCTAGTTGTTGTACATATAATGACTAAAATAACCTCTGTAGTAGTAGCTATCAAGTCAAAGAATTATTCACTTATAGGAAGGATTTTAAATTAACTTAGTAGACTTCAAATTTCTATTCAGTACAGTTAGTGAAAAGTACTTCAGTCGTTAGAATTACAATCGTAACTGATAGCGTAATATACAGAACACGGATGGCGACAATCGAATGTATTTAGGCACAAATTACAAACTATCTCACTAAAATCTGATAACCATACAGTAAATAGTTAGTTTACAATATAACAATCAATTGCCTCAATCTCAACTGTTCCTTCTGTGAATATCAGTCCATCGTCTCTGATCTCATTGTTCAGGCATTTTCATGCCGATTGCTCTTCGTTCTTATTCTTTCCTTATCGATCTTCGAGTGAAATACATTCAATGCCTGACCATCACCATATACTACTTATATGGATATAAGTAATCCACACCACAATAGGAGTTAACCACTGTGATTAGATATTCATCATATTTGCTGTGATCTGCAAAACGCTTCTGTCAACCTTAGGAAAAATTCTGTTAATTTAATGATCAAAAATAAATGAACTGTTAGTTGAATTCACAATAAATTCTTTACAGGGATTCCAAGTTGTTGGTGCATGATGTATTCAGTGTGAACGTTTGTTGATAAAAAATCATGTCATTGGAACATGAGTTCAACAAGATTTCATCACTATTTTTACGTCTCTGGATGGCTGTAGTATGCATACTTTGATTACGGTGTTATTGTTTGGTGTTTGTTAGATGAGAAATCTACTATTCAATGAGTTACATTTAGTCAAATAAAAAAGGTTCTTTTTATGTAATCACTCTACATATCATTGCTATTTAGAATGATTACATTAAGTTCATTTAGTATTGTTTGTTTGAATTTTCTCATCGATGTGTTAGGACTGCAACTGGTCAGTCTCTAATTGGTATATGTGCATATTGTGCGTATTGCCTCGATATAGCTTTAATTCACAAGCATTGTAAGCAGATGTAGATAGTGGCTAGTAGTGGAATCCAGGACGCGCGTCCTGGATAACGCCTGTAATTTTACCCAAGTCTGTTGCATGAAAATTTTTTCTTAAAAGCGGTCAAATACTTTAAATTATCGCCTGACTATGGATCAAGAGAATCATGGCAGACTATTATCATTCTACATGAATTCACATTCTCATTTTAAGGAACAGGATGGATATAATAGTCGAATCGTAGGATTGTCAATCCACGATCTCATACTCATTTGATACCGGTTTTAGATTGACTAACTACTAATTTTTAAAGCCTAATAAGTTAGTCATTTTTCAAAACAAACATCAAAATTATCGAAATTCTATTACTTCATAACTTGACATGATCTTTTGTTATTGATTAATCAGAATGAAAATTTATTCATTATTCAATTATTTGAATACAATGAAGATCCCATTACCAGTTTAAAAAAATTACCTCCAAATGCCCTGGTATTGTCGAGAGTGGAGGAAGTCACCTCTACCTCTCCAAATGCTCCAACGCAGCCACTGACAGTGAAGTCGTACTCACTACCTTCTCGTGATCGGGGGTTTCGCTTAAGCAATTGAGAGGAAAAACAGCGAATATCCGACGCTTTAACAGGGTTGGCGAATATTGAGGATACATCTAGATGATTTGGAAAACTCTCATTCTAAACCAATGGTGCACATGGTCTCAAGGATACTGAAGAAACAAATGACGTATGAATCAATTATTGGTCGCCTTAAGAAAACCACCTACATCGGTTTGGGTACCCGAGTAGTATCACGACCCGCACGCAAATCACTTGATTTGTGGGGCGCATATGTATTGGGTTCCCCCTTTTGTACCAATATTTATTTGCTCAAATAAATAATAAAATTAAAGACATTACATCAAATATATTTTTGTATAAAATGAATTCAGTTACATATATTAAACGTATTCTATTGTTCATCAATGATCTCTTCTTTAACTAAGTAAATCCTTTCCATTTTCTTAAATGGAGAATATTTTGGCAAGATTTTTGAAATTCAAGAAACAATGTTTGTATAGCAACCTAAATGAATAAAATAAATGAAAATCATTATTACCATTATTATTGTGGTATGTGAGCTACTCATATCCTATTAGTAGTATATGATGAAGGTCAGACATAGAAAGTATTTTGGCAGAAGATCGATAAAAAACAGACAGGAATGAAGTGCGTGCGCTTAATCACTAGACCACTGAGCTGGCCGGGATTTAAAGGTGTTAATGTCTAACTTTAACCAATCCGCGAATTTGAGCAACCGATCACCATTGTCTTCAGTGAGTTAACATCTCGCAACAAAGTATTTCAACAAGTCCCCGTTTCTTATTTCTTGATCGACCTCGACAGTAAATATTGAGTGATCACTCGTTAGATGTTAGCATTTCAGAAATCAACATCTGAATAATGTTCATAATTTTCAATGAATGCTGCCAGCTTTCACGAAGTCGCTGATTATACTTTTTTGTAACTTGTACAATGGAAGATTGTACACTTTTCAGAAACTCATCTGAATAGGTTATACGATTAATAGACATAATGATGTATTAAAACAAACAAAAGAAATAGATAACTTGTTGAAATATCTAAATGGCAGGAACAGGTAGCTCACATATTCAAGTACGCCACAGATTTTATTGAACAATAATTAACAAAAGAATGAAAGTTCAATGATTAGAATTATTCATTGCCGTTATTTATATGGTTAATGCATTCTGATACATCGAGTAATAGGTACTTAAATTCAAACCCCATTCACCATAGAACGAGACCACGAACTAATGCTTTTAGTTAGAAAGTTTTTTATTACGAAAAGTAGATTGCACTAGTTCCAAAAAGGGATGTTTGAATTGGATACAACACACTTATTGAAGAAATCATCCAACTGTATCACGAGGCAAGCGTTAACTTGAAATCCTGAAGGGAAACGGTAAACAGGAAGACCGAAGAACACACTACATCAGGAATTGGATCAATTGCAACTGGAAACAACTGGAAAGGATTGATCAGGACAGAGGTAGATAGAGAATTTTGATTAGTGGCCTATGTTCATCCATAAAAGTTAACAGGCACAAGTAAGTAAGTAAGTAAGTTACAAGAAAGATAACTAACATTTGTGCACACCGTCCTTTAAAAGGAACTTTTCTTGGAACAGTGAATGTATGGTCACATTTT